TCCTTTCGAAAACTAGCATTCTTACACAATTACCTCAAATTCTTATCTTACAAAGCAGATGATGAAAGTTTCTTCTGCTGGTTAGAGAATGACCTCCCAGATGAAATGCATGTATTCCAGAAAATTATGGTTTCTTCAAACTATGATGTGGTGAACTGAAATATAGCCTTGTTCTGCAGGTGGATCAAGCGAAGGAGATATATCACGATGAGGAATATAAATCAAAGACATGGGTTTTTCCCTTGTACAATTTCACAGTTGCGGTTATTTGGTCCCCATACCTTGTCAAAGCAGAGATTTTTGAAGACGACGATGGAGTTTCAACATCCGAAACTATACTTCATCTTGACAAGTTAGATGAGAAATGGACAAGCCGATACAATAACTTTGATTATGCGATAATTGCTGGTGGAAAATGGTTTTTGAAAACTGCAATCTATTTTGAAAATAACACAATTCAAGGATGCCATTACTGCCATGGGAGAAACTTGACAGAACTCGGGTTTGATCATGCTTATCGCAAGGCACTCGAGCTAGTCCTAAACTTTGTGATGAATTCAAGTCATAAAGCACAAGTTTTCTTGAGAACTATCACCCCAGATCACTTTGAGAATGGAGAATGGCATAATGGTGGGACTTGTAATCGAAGAGTGCCATTCAAAGAGGGTGAGGTGAACATAACTGATATAGATAGGATACTTTATGAGGTGGAGTTGCAGGAATTTGATAAGGCCGTTGGAGTTGCATTGGTGAAAGGTGTCTCCTTAAAGCTTTTTGACACAACCCGACTCTCTCTATTGAGGCCTGATGGGCATCCTGGCCCGTACAGGCAGTCGCATCCTTTTGCAAAGGATAAAAATGCCAAGGTTCAGTTTGATTGCTTGCATTGGTGTTTGCCAGGGCCAATTGACTCCTGGAATGATTTGGTCATGGATATTTTGATGAACGACTAGACGAAAGAAATGCAAGAGCCATTGACACTTTGAAAGGTATGTTGTTGGCCTTGACTAGTGTCTAGGTAAATCCATATACACAAAGTTATCCATGCAAAGTTCGATTTTGGATCACTGATGTAAATTTTTTGTTATGCAAAATTCTTTTCTTGTAAAATTTTTGTTATACAAAATTCTTTGAATGAAAATGCTCGAAAGTGATCCGGAACCTGGATAATAATTACTTAGGAAAAGCTATGGGAATGCATCGGCTGTGTTATTTAATCTTTGGTTTTCTATTTTTTTATTTTATTTTTTACTCTATTGTAGCAAATTAGCAATTGTACACAGTTTTCACATGTATACCCGTTTTTTTATGCTCAAACACATCCAGATATTTGGGTGAGAGTTTGAGGACACATTCATGCGATTCAATTGCTTATAATTCAGCCTTCATTAGCTATCATCCATCGTTAATCGATACTCCTAGTTGTCGGTTATTCTCCCAATACTTGAGTTTCCCTAATTGTTTCACATACATTTCGATATAGAAGGCCCGTTTGTAGGACAAACATTATCAACATCATTCTCAACATCGACGACAAACAAGACAGAAATAAGTGGTACATATAACTAATATCAGTACAAATCAGCTAGAGCAGCGGATGATGTAGCTAGACTGATTGCAAAAGAAGGGAAATCGTCTAGTAACACTGCTAACATAGACACACATAACATACGTGTTTGACAAATGACAATGATACAACACTCAATAATAAGAAAGAAAAATAAGACATCGATACTACACCTTCATCCATCCATCCATCCAATCGATAGATTAAATCCTTAGAAACACTCATCACTTATCGCAGTTCCAGACCAGCCACCACCAAGGACCAGATCACAACAAGTACCAACAATTGCTGCATTACATTGTAGTCCGTCGCAACATGGATCTAAACCCTCACCGCAAGGATAACCTCTCAAGGTGCACCACTGCCCTGATGCAAAATCTGCAAAATTGAAATTTACAACATTATATTTACTTGATTAATATCAGTACAATTATCATTAGAAATAACAATAAAATCAATGAAGGGATAAAGTGTTATTACTAGATGCCATGATAACAAGCAGTAACACAAATATTAGTGGGTTCAGACTTTTTGGGCACGCCATTTTGATAACCAACCACTTACTAGTTACTTAGGCCTTGTTTAGTTCACCTTATTTTTACTTATTTCAGAAAAAATAAGTTCAGATCAGATCAGAAAAAATAAGTTCAGATCATATCAGATCAGAAAAAATAAGTTCAAATCAGATCAGAAAAGTTCAGATCAAATACAAATTATTATTATTATTATTATTATTATTATTATTATTATTATTATTAAATAGCACAAACGATAAACGATAATAATTAAAATTTCATTATAAGCTCCAAATCATAATCGTTTACAAATATAATTTTCACGGGAAGTAATAAGCAAAAATAAGTAGTAAAGTACGTTGGATATGAAAAAAAGTAGACGGAGGGAAATAACAAATGAGATGAACATTTTGGGACTAAAATTTTCCAAAAAGGACTATCAATAAGGGACGGAGGGAAAACATAATACTTTGCTTTTTCCTAGAAACACCCTCTTCAGATCAAAACAATAATACTTGATCAAGTGGTTTTAACAAAAATATTTGAATATCTTCTTACAAAATATTAAATTTTTTCCTGCAAAAAAAAAAAAAAGCAATAATAAACGAGCCTAACGTTTCCTATACAAAAAAATGAATATCTTCATACAACATATTATGTATATTTTCATTTTTTTTTTAATTTCATATTTTTGATAACAAGCCTAACGTTTTCCATAAATAAAATTTTTTAAATTTCATATTTTCTTTCCTTCTATTCTGTCAAATACTTTTGCTTTATACAATTTTTTATTCTTCCACTTACCCCATCCATATATTATTACGTTTACCAATTTCTCCTAAAACTCCCCACATGTAAAAATGAAGAAGGTATTTAAAATCGAAGGGAGTATATGTACAAGATTTTCAATAATAATAGCTACGCATTACTACATTTAAAATTAGTACAAAGTAACATAGAAAATGTTGCTAGTTCAAACAAACGATAAAATCAAATCCAATACATCATAAATCCATATTATTATTTAAGAATTAAGGTATTTAAAAACAAGTCAAATCTCCTTTTTTCTATGTAGAAAAAAGCTATGATAAATTTAATCTGTAATTTAGTTTTTTTAGGATCCCCATTTTAATACTTTCGTATAAAAAAAATTCATTTATGAAGTGGGATACTATAAATAATAAAATTATCAAATATTCCAATTCTATACTTATATTATCTAGTAATTTTAATACTTATAGGTTTCTTTAAAATATTTGTAATAAATAATAATAATAATAATAATAATAATAATAATAATAATAGTAATAATAGTAATAATAATCATAACAATAATAATTAAACATTAATATTGATTAACATTAAAAGTAGAATATTGAAATAATTAAAATAAGTTCAATTCAAAAAAATAAGTTCAGATTAGATCAGATCAGAAAAAATAAGTTCAGATCAGATCAAATCAGAAAATATAAGTTCAGATCAGATCAGATCAGAAAAAATAAGTTTAGAACAGATCAGATCAGAAAATATTAGTTCAGATCAGAAAATATCAGTTTAGATCAGATCAGATCAGCTTAAACCAGGTAAACTAAACAAGGCCTTAGGCCTTGTTTGGTTCACCTTATTTGTACTGATCTGGTCTGGTCTGATCTGATCTGATTGTCTGATTTGACCAAACTTTGACCTTAAGTGTACGATAATGTATAAGAAAAAAAAAATATCAAGTGGGATCTTGTTAGATTCGTAATAATGTGTAGTTTATTAATATGTAATTTTCACAATTTTTTTCATTACGAAATTAAGAATATTTAGCGATAAAAAACCACACATAAAACGATGTTCTGATCTGAACTTATTTTTTCTGAAATAAGTAAAAATAAGTTGAACTAAACAAGGCCTTACACTGTAATTAGCTTAGTTTTGCTTGGAATGAAGACTTAAGCAATTTGTATGATTGGTTTTTCATTTACTTCTCTATTTATAATGTCTATGCAATGTTTATATTAATTTAAAAATGCATGCCAAAATTACGCTTCGATCGGTGTAATTAATATTTATTTTAATTCAATATTTCTACTTTTAGTTATCTTATCCAATGTCCTTGGGGCGTTCATTAGCTTTTGCCATGTTATATATGTGTGTTATTACCATATTTTAAGGTTAACTCCAATTATTCCTAATATTTAATGAAGCTTGGATTAAGGAGTATAATAAATAATCCACGTTATTCAATAATTTTTAAGGAAACTAGGAGGAAACTCTACTATATTTATGCTTTAAGAAGAATAAAAAAGTACAAGTAAAATTAAAACCCTGCATTATTTTCTCAGGTTTCTTAGATCAATAAAATTTTCACCCCATGATGCATGCATGGTTGCCAATTCATCATTTGTGTATCAAAAACTTTAGCCTTTTGTCAATTAGTTAAAATTCATAAATCAAATCATTGTATCCATTTATTTGCTTCATGAGCAACTGACAAAATAATACGAAGTACTTTTTTTGTTTTTTTTTTTTTTTCTTTTTTTTTTGAGAAAGACGAAATAATTAAAAAGGTAACAGAGTAGAGAGAAGAGGTAAACGACTAAACGAGTTATTTTTCAACTTAAAAAAATATCCAATGTTATTTTTCAACCACTTTTAGCAAATTCTTAAATCCTCAAATACCCTGGTATACTTTACATAGATTTGGCATAACGCATGCGTAGTACTTCGTAATGCATTGTTGAATGATATTTTTCAGCAACTTTCAACTCTTTATTAATAACCGTTACGCTATTTTATCAAATAGCAACTTTTGTAAGATTTATCGTTCTAAGTATCATTACTATTGATATGATAAATGACTTAATGAGTAAACAACAAACAAAGATACATACTAAAAAAAGTTTTGAAGAAATTGCAACCTAAAAAAAAGGTATTAAAGAAAGGCCCATTTATTAGTACTCATGTCTCAACATTCATGACTAATAAGACAGAAATAAAACATACAATTTGAAGCACGAGATACACGCATATTATATGATACATCTCCCATTCACCCACTTGTTTCATTGGCTATTTTGAGCAGTCATCTGGAAACAACCACACCGGTGAACAACAACGACCGTTAGCTCTGCCGCTACAATACAATCCGTTGCAACATGGACTTATATTACTACCACATCGATAACCTTTCATGGTGCAGCCCTGCCCTATTGCCAAATCTGCAAAATTACCATTTACGACACATTAACTACGAGTAATTAACACTAGTACTAAGTTTAGTTAACATTCAATAACAAGTAACTAATTAAGAAAAAGATTAAGTATCATTACTAGATGCCATGATTATAAGTAGTAACCCAAATATTAATAGCTTCATATATTTGGGAGACGCCATTCTAATAATGGGTCTATCTGTTTTGGATTTGAGAAATTTGTTTTGAGTTATTAGCTTATCATATACTTCTACTCTATTTATAATACTCTTTCTAATGAAAGGTCAACTTACGTTTATACCAATTGTAAAATAAACAATTAAAGAAAGCTGCTAATAAATTTTGTTCGTTTTATTAAATTGTGAGTATCCTATATACACGCAAGATGAAGATAGGTTGACGTGTTAATCCTCATCTTATTAGCGCCTATTTTTTTATTTAAATGTCTTTTCTCACAGAAAATGAATTTTCTGCTGTCATTTCTTTATCAAATCTCAACATTACCTCAAGTTAAAAACTTAAACGCAGTAGACATAATAAGTTCATATATATCTTTTTTTTTTTTTTTTTGAAACACTTTGTACAATATAAGACGAATAGAATAAAGCTGAATTAAGGAACCCATATTTTCCACCTTTATTTCCTTCTCATTTTCTCTCATCCATCTTCCATTTTACTTTCCTCTGTATCCTTTGATAAAAATTCTACATTGGTCATCCTTAAAATGACCACTACTATTCTAAAATATGATTAAATTAAAAAGATTAAAATGAAATTATTGTTCTTCAACCCCTTTAAGGTTTTTCATCCATGTATGAAATTAACTACCAATTTCTGATCTTTGTTCCGTAAATACATCCACGCATCAATAGAAATTAAATATATGCCCCGATCTACACAGCATATGCAAAATTTTAAGTTTTCCGAATGGGGGGTTCGCGTAAAGCTGGGTTGGAACCCAGAAAAACCCAGAATTCGTAACAGTCGAAAATGAAGAAAAATGTGAAGAATTTAACCTTGATAGGCAAATTTAACAAGGGTTTAATGTTTCCCTCTTGACGAAAAACAAAGGGAGGAGGAGAGAGAGTTGATGAAATGTCAGAAGAGAAAGAAGAATAATCGATTGAAAAACCGGCGGAATCATATTCTCAATACTCCAAACGCCGTATAATCCACTGAACAGAACTTTAACAATGTAACACCTTTCTGCTTTCTCTGTTAACAGTGAAGTTCAAGTATGCAAAGATTCCACACATTTTCCGTGATGAATTATATTGTGCAAATAATTTTATTAATCAATTATCAGGTTTCAAGTATGCAATTATCATATTTTAATTATTTTTGTTGTACAATCGTGAAGAATGATCAGATTTTAATACTTTTATTGTATAAATTCCCTGTTTTCACATCCGTTGATTGATATTGTACCATCAAAGTCTATTTTTCAAGGATTAAAAACCTACCCAGATGCGTTAGAACACCGTTGATGCGCGAGTGAATTTAAGGGACATAGATCATATATTGGTGGTTAATTTCATTAATGGAGGAACAAACTTGAAGAGCATTGAAGAACGATGAAGAACATTGATGAACTATGAAGACCAATTCTTTTATTTTGATTTTTTGTATTCAATCTTATTTTTGGATTTATTAGAAATAGATTTTTATAAAATAATTTCGAAAAAAAAAAAACATTTTTGGAAAAAGAAAATGAATTAAAAAATAGGTTTGACCAAGATTTAAAAATAAAGCAAAACTCAGCCAATCATAATTAAGTATAGTCATGGTCACAATAAACATTACCATAGTAAAAACATCCATTGTTTTAAGGAATGAAAATTTTGTCAACAACTACCATTTACATAACCACTTTTAAGAACAACTACCTATTAATTTTTTTTTAAAACAAAACTACGACAAAAACACAAAAACTTTAAGTGGTTTTACGTCAAGAATCTTCGGTTTGATACAAAAAGTTTAAATAGCACTACCACTTGTGGTTTAACACAAAAACATACCTCATGTGTTTTCCTTGTGATTCTTTCAATATGAAAGAAACCATTCTAATGTGCTACATTGTTCAAATCATCTCGATAAATAATTTTTAAATTTATTATAAATAATTTTTAATACGAAGTAGTAAATAAAAATGGATATATTAAAAACATTGGGGTGTAAAGATACTTCTTTCGTCTTAATTACTTCACAGAAAAGGCATACAAAAATACAAAATATAGAGGCCATTAACTAAGAGAGAGATTTTATATAATAAATATATAAAATTATAAAAAGTATAGTGCGATAGAAAAACCACATAATAATAAGAGAAAATAAATATACTAATGCAGCCGTTAATAAAAATCAGATGAAGTGAAAACGAGAATAATGTATGTAGCTAGGATATCACTTTAAAACTAATCATGGTAGGGAAAAAAAGTCAAATTATAGCATAATCCTTTTTTTTTCAACAAAGTATTTTACTGCGTATTTTTTTTCAAACAGACAATTGTACTCCGTATTATTATTATTGTAATTATTAATATAAACTCTTAGATAGACTTGGTTCACATTAATTTATTGTTCAGAAGGTCTGTGATAATCAAATCGGAGAGCCAATTGGGACCCTTGTCAATTGTCATGCCAAACCTCATCACAAAAGATATTCCTATCCTTGATAAAATCATACCTATAAAAATCCCCTTCCACAAACTCACTCAACTGTCTTATACGAATACACAACACATACACATCATAGTATCATACACAATCCAAACCTACTCACAAGAACCAAAAAATGCAAGAAACAAACCGAAAACCCCACGTAGTAATAATCCCAAGTCCAGGGATGGGCCATCTTATCCCCGTGGTCGAATTCGCTAAGCTCCTCCACCACCACCACCACTTCTCAATCTCTCTTTTACTCCCTTCCTCGTCCCCACCCACCACCGCGCAAACCACCTTCCTCTCTAGTTTACCTCCCGCCATCTCCCCTACGTTCCTCCCATGCGTCGACTCCTCTCTACTACCTTCCAATGTAGCCCATGAAGTTACCATTCATCTGACTCATTTCCATTCTCTTTCCCACGTTCGTTCTGTCCTCTCTTCGCTCTCCAATGTTGTTGCTCTCGTTACTGATCTTTTTGGTACCGACTACTTTGATGTTGCACGAGAGTTTAACATCCCACCTTACATTTACTTCACTTCTAATGCCTTCTGCTTACTGTCCTTCTTCTACTTCCCTAAGTTGCATGAAACGGTGTCGTGTGAGTATAGGGATATGGCGGAACCCTTGGTTATGCCCGGCTGTGTGCCTCTCTATGGTAAGGACTTTGTTGATCCTGCTCAGGACCGTCAAGATGAGGCATATCGAGTGTTTTTTTATCAGATCAAGAGGTATGTTTTAGCTGAGGGAATTTTTGTCAACTCGTTCTTAGAGCTTGAACCGGGTGCTATTGATGCCTTGAAAACCGAGGATCCAAACAGACCAGAAATTTACCCGATCGGGCCAATCATTAAGTCCGGTTTGGGTGGGGAAGCCGACGAGTGTTTGAGTTGGTTGGACCAGCAACCACCGGGTTCGGTTTTGTTTGTTTGTTTTGGGAGTGGAGGGACTTTATCTAATGAGCAGATTAACGAGTTAGCTATTGGGTTAGAAAATAGTGGGCAAAGGTTTTTGTGGGTGATTAGGGCTCCTAGTAACTCTAGTGTGGAGTCATTTTTTACCCAAGGTAGTAACGAAGATAATTCATTTGGTTTCCTCCCGGAGGGATACTTAGATAGGATCAAGAATCGTGGGTTTTTGGTCCCATCTTGGGCCCCGCAACTAAAGGTTTTGAGCCACAAGTCTACGGGTGGGTTTCTGAGTCATTGTGGGTGGAACTCGACTTTGGAGAGTATCGTCTATGGGGTGCCTATGATTGCTTGGCCACTCTATGCAGAGCAAAGGATGAACGCCGTGTTGCTTAATGAAGGGATCAAGGTGGCATTACGCCCTAAGGTAACAGAAAGTGGAGTTGTCGACGCAGACGAGATAGCTAGAGTTGTCAAGGAGTTGTTGGAAGGTGGAGCAGGGAAGAAAGCAAGAGAACGGATCAAGGAATTGAGTGAATTAGCAAGAAAGACAACAAGTGAAGATGGGGACTCAACAAAGATTCTTAGCCAAGTAGCTCAGAAATGGAGTCAACACTCAAAAGTAATTAATTAAGAGTCTAAAAATGATTGGAGAACATTTACATATGCAACTTTTGTTAGTTGTTTGCCAACGAGGGCAAACGAGTGCCTTTGTACTGTATTTGATAATGAATAGTATTTGTAACCTCTAATAATTTACATTTACCAGGTTGTTGTGGACAATGAATATGATCAAAGTTTCTTTTTCCTATTTTTTATTTTTGTTGTTACCTCTTAAAAGGAGAGAAAATTTAAAATTAGTAATTCATATTAATCTCTAAGATTAACATCTCAATTTATCTCTTCAAACTTCGAACCGTTTAATACATTTAATTTTATACCATTTTATCAAAAAGCTTATGTTACTTGAAAAGGAAATGAATTGTGAAATAGAAATATTTGCAGGTCAGATACAATTTTTTATTTTCTCAAGAAAAATCTCCAGAATTAGTTTTGAGATTTTACTGTGTGGATGAAACTGAAAAAAGCATTAAAAATATTGCTGAGTTGTTCTACAATCATCCTATTAATATTTGACATGTGATATGGAGAGATACAATTGGAAAAATGAAAATTGATCACATTTTACCAACCACCCAGACCCCCACATGGAAAGACTCTGACAGAGCATCAGAAAATGCAGACTCCGCACCATGCACTTCCCACTTTTTTAGCCAAATTCATCAACTGTTCTACATTGTACTGGTGGTAAGTTGTAACAAATTTTTAAAATTGATGGTTTTTTATAATATTTTTTTTAAAATGTGATTATATGTAAAAAAACAAGATTTAAAAGGTGAATTTATGCAAAATTTTATAATAAAATTGATTCATATAATTGATATTAAAAAAAAATACTTTAAAACGTCACTTAAATTTTTTCCAAATACCTCTAATATATTGATTCTTAGACTAATGGAGTATTAGATATGACTATAAAATAAATGTTGTGTTCAACAACTATATCATAGGTCTATATCTAGTAAAATGTGAAGTATCAATCAATTTTTTTGTTACATTAATATCTTAGTAAATACAAAATATTATTATCGTTTGCTGAATTATAGACACATTCTTTTTTTTTCGAGAAATAGTTATTATTTACAAATAAAATTTTAAGCTAATAAACAAATAATTATCAAACTACAATTATTGGATACCAAACACATTATTATATAATAACAAAGAGCGATGATATCATGTAGAGCATCAATTCATAAAATGAAAATGTACTATTAATAATATAGGTTAGTGATGCCTGATTGTGGATTATAATTGCCTTTAATGATCCGAGTAGTATTTATTTCCATTGAAATTATTTTATTGGATATAAAGGTGATATATTATTTGTAATTTATATACTTACTGTAGATTTTAGGTTAATTTCACTTTTGCTACCACCAAAACACATGCATCTCACTTTTGCTACCCCTCCAATTTTATTTTATTTTTAATTTTGCCACCACACAAAAACACATTGTTAAAATTTGCTACCACTTAACGGAATGGGCTAGGATTCTGTTAAGTTTATTAAAAAAAAAAAAAAAAAAACTCTAACCCAAATTCCGACAACCCCTACCACCGGCCCCCTACCCCATTCCAGCCACGATCTACCTCCCTGATTCTGGCCACCAACTCCCTTCCCTTCCCGATTCCGGCCACCCCCCACCCCGTTTCCGGCCACCCCATCCCTTTTCCTTCCCAATTTCGTCCACCAACTCCCTTCCCTTCCTGATTCCGGCCATCCCCTCCCTTCCCCACCTCGTTTTCGGCCACCCCATCCCTTTTCCTCCCCGATTTCGTCCACCAACTCCCTTCCTTTCCTGATTCCGGCCATCCCCTCCCTTCCCCACCCCGTTTTCGCCCACCCCATCCCTTTTCCTCCCCGATTTCGTCCACCCTCCCTCCCCTAGCCCACCACCAAAACCACCTCCCTACCTAGCCATCGCCAAAAGCCCACCTACTCCCCTTCCTCAGTCCCAAAATCCCACCACCTCCCCTTCTCTAGCCTGAAACCTCACCCAAAAACCAGCACCTCTAACCTTAAACCACCAGCCTGAAACCACCCTAAACGGGTTTTAGGGTTTTGCTTATGGTGGTTTAAGGGTGGTGTTTATGGGTTAAGGGTGACTATTTTGGGTGGGGAAGGGGAGAGGGGGTCGATTCAGGGTGGGGGAATGGGAGGGGGGCCGATTCCGGTGGGGGGTGGGGGTGGGGAGGGAGGGTTGTTTTCCGGTTTCGGGGTGGGAGTTGGGGCAGCGAGAAAGGGATAAGGGAGGGGGGATGGGTTGCGTTGGTGGGGGATAGGGATTGGGGTGGGGTCGCCGGCGTTGGCCCAAGCTTTGGGCGCTGGCCGCCGGCAGAGAGGAGGGGGGAAATTGAGGGTGGCTGGTTTTTTTTTTTTTTTAATAAACTTAACGGAATCCGTCGTAGCAAATTTTAACAATGTGTTTTTGTGTGATAGCAAAATAAAAAAAATAATAAAATAAAAAAAATTAAAAAATTGGAGGGGTAGCAAAAGTGATGGTCAAATACCCTCTTTCGATCTCAATTCTCCACCACCCAGCGCCATGATGCTCGTCTGACTGCTGGTTCGGCATCAATTTATGCAATTTTTGAAATACGTGGACGGTCGGCTCAAATCCGTAGGACAGACACATCCAAAGGAATGTCATTACTCTTCGGATGCTAGCTGGAGTTAATTGGCACAACGAGATGTTGTACCCATTCAGCACCTCCACAACGAATGTGTGCAATGGAAACCGAAGCCCAAATTGCAGCTGCCTGGTGTACACACCGATGTAGCCAGGTGGGGGCCTGTGAATCCTATCCTCGGCTGTGGGAATTTGGCACCAGTACCCATCTTCCTCCATAATGTCGTAAAATACTTCAAGTTGCTCGGTAAAACTATGGAGGGCACTTCCGTTGACCCACCAGTCATACGGAGCAGCATTCATCAACCTAGCATTCTCGAGTGGGTTATACCACTCAATGGCCCCATATGGTAGCTGCCGAGGCCCATGCGCTGAACCTCTGTTAGAAGTGCTTGCCTCTTCTCAACCTCCGCAAGGCATTGAGGCCAGAGGTATCGCAGCAATGGGAGGCTCTCTCGAAGAGGCTCTGGTTTCCCTCCTAGGAGAGAGGTTTGGCTGCTTAAAGGCGGCATCGGCCCAAGTGGCCGATTACGCCGAGCACCCAATTGAGGAATTTCCTCCTCTTCTTCAGCAACTATGGGTCTTTTTCCTCGTTCTTGAGCCATTTTTATGCGAATAATTGAGAAATCGGGAAAAAGGGGAAAGCTTTGAAAAACAATGAAATATGAACAATTTTCGGAGAAAATTACCTTTATCAAACGCAGAATTTGCCGATCTATTTGTCCGGAGCAACGAATTTCAGTCTAAGGTTCGGAATCGCAGAGAATAAGGGAAAGAAAGAAATCGGTTTGCAAGGGAGTTGGCGAAGTCTGGGAAGAGTATTTGCGAGAAATGATCAAAGAGATTGGAGAGGGTGTTTCAATAGGCTTTCCGGAATTTGAAATTCCTGGAGTCAGAACCGCCAAAACCCCCACTAATTCCACTTAAACTCAACCGTTAAACACTTCCCCAAGTTAACCACCCACTAAAACCTTCCATTTTCCCTAATTAGTCTCCTTAAAAGACAGTTAAAACATCAATAACTGTCCAAATTCCAAATTCAAATTACAATCATTTGTTTCCCTCCATTTTGCAAGTCAAAACCTGACCCGTCATCCTTCCGAATCGGGTCTGGGTGGCAAGTTGTTTGGGTCCAATTTAGTCATCCTAATTTGGCTAGCCCAAATGATTTAATTACAAAAGTCCAAAGCAAGGTTCAACTCTTAAAAAGCATGCTAAGTCAGCCAAGCCCAATCAACATAGCAAGCCCATCTGACTTCAGGGCCCAGTTCACCTATTTTGAGCAAAGGTATAAAAGCCTTCAATTGTCTCCTTTTACATTCATGCACAATAAGTCTCAAGCAATTAATCCTCTTGCATAGCTTATTCTCTCAATACATTGAACTGACTTTAGCATCGGAGGGGCCTTCCTTGGCAACCACCCCCGAGGCTAGTTTACGTGTGTTTGCTGTGCAGGAAATCCTCGGCCCAGTCATCACTTGGACCGAGATTAGTCTTCTCCTCCAAAAAGGGCCTGCCAAAGGTCCTATTGTTTTCATACCGAAACACTTCTTGTCAAAAAAAAAAAAGGTTCCCATATCTCAAATTACTTGTCTTATTTCTTGTTTTTAGATGTCTCAAATTACTTGCTTTAATCACTTATTCGCAAGTTTTTGTATCTCACTATATTTTTCTATATATAAAAAAAAATTCTATAAAAAAAAAATATATATAGAATTGGGAGAATAAATAATTGACTTGGTAAGGACTAAGGAGTAATTTAATCTAATGGTAAAAAGGGAAGTTAGCAGGAGGAAAGGAGGTTGATACGAGAAAAACGGTTAACTATTGATACATCGCTGCTATTTACATGGCAAGTAAATAGTAGTTATAAAACAAAAGAGTGATGAATTTTTTTTTTTTTCCTTCTAGCGGTACAAATATTGTACCACTGTTACCTATAATGGCAATAAATAATATTACTAAAATAATTTATACTCTACTTGTATAAAATACATGTATAATTGTACATTAAAAATACCATTATAAGTATGATAGTACATTAAAAATACAAATGTAGCAATAAAAAAAAATCACAAAAATTAAATAAATTTACCAATTGCCCCTTTAATATGCATCCCAAACAAATACTCCTAGTTGCACTTGAAAAAAACAACACATGGAATATATGCAGGTAGTATGGATCATCATACACACACGGTCAAGTACACAAAAGCCTCCCCCATTCCTTCTAGAATCCCGCACATCAATGTTTGTATTGCGTCATTCATGTATCATCATCACGTCACCTCACTTTTGTCTATTGTTGTCAACATGCCAAGAAAAAAACCAAAACTTCATATCAAATTATTGTTCGCTTAATATTTTATCTATTTTTATACGATTCATATGCAACACTTAGCAGATTAAAATATGCTTAGATAAATAAAAATTTGAATACTAAATGATAAATATTTCGTATGAGAGTATAATAGGAACAATGTCCAATTTCACAATCATAATTAATTTCTATATTTAAAATATTTGCTTTCATTTGTGTTAGTTTTGCTAAAACATGGTCAATAAATGAAAAGGTAAAATAATAGATTTGCGACATAAAAAAACATTTTAACAATGAGCACTAGTAAATTGAATTAAATTAAGTGTCCCTTTTCTAACTAAATTATATATGAATTGAATTGGTAGTCATTTTTTTCGGTTGTTTTATCTCTCAATTACATTCTAGTACTATTTTTAATTGTTAATCACATTACATATCAACCATACCTCAACCAAGATAGATTGGTCAAGCGTAAAATAATCCTTATCGGCATTACGATGAGAGTTTACAAGTTTGAATTAATCCTATTGTTAAGGTATTTTGGAGGTTAAAATTCCTCTTTTTTCACCTTTATCATCTACAAAGTTAATCGACTTGATTTTCATGAGGTTCCGATCTAATAAGTCATTGTCCCATCCACACTAAAGACTACTAGTAAAGGCTTACCAGGCACATTGATATCGGTCTGGCAATTTAGGTGAAGGTTTTCATCTCATAATAATTGGATGTATTAATGTATACAAACTCAAATTGGGTTTGACATATGATAATTACAACAAAAGGCTTAGCTTACGTTATAATGACGTCACCCCCACGCATAAATTCGCTTTCTATGAACTTGTTCAAAGAGAGTTCCTTTCATAGTCTCCCTCATTTGCCTCTTCAACGACGTCACACAACAATCCAATAAGCTAGTACACCATTTTTGGACAGCAGCCGAATCAATTTTCTAGAGTATATAAGGAGGTTGAAAGAATTAAATAAAGTTATTTAAATTAATTATTGACTAATTATTAAAATTATATGATTATAATAAGATATCATCCAACGACATAAAATTATATTCCATATTATATTGGAAAAAGGATAATCAATCTCCGAAAACAATCTTAGCACATAAGCACATCATTATTGAAAATTACATACATTGATGTAAAGTTTTTTTGCTATGTTGTATACTTTGCACTTTATACTTTTCTTTATATATATATATATATATATATATATATATATATATATATATATATATATATATATAAAATAAAAAAAATAAAAAATAAATAAATAAAAACAGAAAAACATCTTTTAGATTCTTTCAGAAATCCGAAAATATAGGTGAGTACGGAGCAAAAGACAAACAATCTTGATCATGATCATGCTTTTTTCAAAAAGTCAATTTAATACAAGTATATTCCTGTTTTAAAAAAGTCTTACCTAGATGTTTATACCCATTTATTAATAAATATTCCTACTATGTTTATTAAGATGAACAACAAACCTGTCTTTCTAAGTATTACTCTGTATATTTTAACCAGATGTAATATTAAGACATGACTTTGATCAATAATACTCGCATAATATTTGTCTTTCAGTAAAAATTACTCAAATAAAAATTTAATCATAAAATTGTAGCTTGTGAGTAGTCAACAACTTGACTTTTTTTCCTCATAAATAACTTATACAAGATATATATAGGAAGAATAAAAATGAACGGATGGAATACATCTTTTTAATAAAAGTGCATATTTTTGAATATAACTATATAAGAGATACAATGCACCCGTGCTCAGGTATCTAAATAATACTTTGTAATATAATAGAGATGTTTTAATTGGTTGATTTTTCATTTTTCATTGATTGTGAATGATATATACAAGTAGTCAAGTACTAAGGATAATTATGGGCAATATAAATTGCTTTTTTGGGTGGATTTAGTTAGAAGTTTTTTTTAGTAATTTACATGATTGTGGTGAAATGTAATATAGGTTGAGGAATGAGGTGTACTTGAAGATCTTTAGTTAATCCTGCATTTATGTAATGATAATATAGTTTTTATACCTGATTTGTTTCCATTATTTATTGATTGTAAATGATATCGGCTGGATTACCTTCAAAGTTTTTTTGGATATATTAAAATACTGTATTTAATGTAGGCTGAGGAATGAGGTGCTGAAAACCTCTCATTAATCTTGTTCAAAAAAAAAAAAAAAAAAAAACCCTCTCATTAATCCTACATTTCCTTAATAGTAACAGACAGAGTATACAATAATTCAGCCTAATTAAATTCTCCTTCTCTTTTTGGGTAAAAATCTTATATCCATCTCAATAATTCATAATATCTCATCTTCTATTTTAAAAACTCTTATTCAATCACGTTTATATAAATTAATTCCAACAACTACACACTTATTTCTCTTTGAATCAACAATAATGTCCAAATATATGCAAAATAAAACCCCACCGAAATCCTCCATAAATAAATATGGTATATAAGCAACAAATCACCAATATAGTGAACATGATATGTTTCTTTTATGTCACAATTTTGATTATTATATTTTGACAAGTCCCCATTAACTTATACCAGCATATATGACTTGTACAATTTATTCCTATACTATTTTTCACTACTACTCTTATAGTCTTACATCCCCACACGCACACCATTAGTCTCGTACCACTATTACTATTTTATTTTTACAACAAAAAATTTATTCTATTTATAAATTATAATACTGGTATTTTTTTAATAATTAAAAACAAAAGCTTTGTTTTCTATAAATAGCACCCTCATAATCTTTTTCTTTCTCAACCACTAAAATTTGCAAAACTTCCCAACAAATTATAACCTAAGCTTTCGAAAATTCATTCTCCTCTTTATTAATTTGTTTCATTCTTTAGTGAGTCAATTCAACAAATCAAATAAAAATGGAATCCCATCAAAATTCACCCCCTCACATAGTGATCATCCCAACACCTGGGATGGGACACCTAATTCCCTTAGTTGAATTTGCAAAGAGAATTCTCCATATTACTCCTACGTTACAATTGTCTTTCATAATCCCAACTGAAGGCCCGCCAACACGGGCACAAAAGACTGTGTTGGCGGGCCTTCCAGAGGACCGCGCCTCCTCCACCTTCCTCCCACCCGTCAATTTTGACGACTTACCTTCCGATACAAAGATTGAGACTAAGATTAGTCTCACTTTCGTCCGATCCCTTCCCGCCATTCGGTCTCACCTTAAGGAGTTACACGATTCGAACATCAACCTCGTGGCACTCGTTGGCGACCTCTTCGGGACGGACGCCTTCGAGGTTGCACGTGAGTTTGGGATGAAGCCGTATATATTTTTCCCTTCTACGGCTATGTGTTTGTCTTTGTTCTTACATCTTCCGGAATTTGATGCTCAAGTTTCATGTGAGTTTAAGGACATGCAAGAACCGGTTTTATTGCCCGGTTGTACTCCGATTCATGGAAAATATCTTTTGGACCCGGTCCAGGATAAAAAAAACGATGCTTATAAATGGACACTTCATCATGCTAAGAGGTATAAATTGGCCGAGGGTATTTTTGTAAATTCATTTGAAGAGTTGGAAGAGGGGGCTTTGAAATATTTGAAAAATAATGAACCGGGAAAGCCCTCGGTTTACCCTGTTGGACCGTTGGTTCAGACCGGGTCGACTAATGATGACAAGTGTGAATCTTTGAATTGGTTGGATGAGAAACCACGAGGCTCGGTTTTATTCGTTTCGTTCGGGAGTGGTGGGACCCTTTCGCATAATCAAATAATTGAGTTGGCTAATGGTTTGGAGATGAGTGAACAAAGATTTTTGTGGGTTCTAAGGAGTCCTAATGATAAGACTCTTAATGCTACGTATTTTAGCGTCGAGGGTGATCGAAATAACCCTCTAGACTTTTTGCCTAAAGGGTTCTTGGAAAGGACTAAGGAGCGGGGCCTAGTTATCCCTACGTGGGCACCACAAGTTCAAATACTTAGCCACATGGCAACTGGCGGGTTCTTAACTCATTGTGGTTGGAACTCGATTTTGGAGAGCGTGGTGCATGGTGTGCCTTTGATAGCATGGCCACTCTACGCCGAGCAGGAGATGAACGCGGTGATGCTGAACGAGGGTATAAAGATCGCGCTAAAGCCAAAAGCCAACGAGAATGGACTAATTGGGCGAGGGGAGATAGCGATGGTCGTTAAAGGTCTAATGGAAGGTGAAGAAGGGAAGAAAATCCGAAATCGGATGAACGAGCTGAAGGAAGCAGCCAATAGAGTGGTTGGAGAAAATGGTTCATCCACAAAGGCACTTTGTGAAGTGGTTCAAAAGTGGATGTCTCACTAAAGTAAAGTCACAATAATTTGCATGAAGAAAACAAGTAAAAAAAAAAAAAAGTCCATCCAATACTTTAGTAGTGCGTGCGAATGTACAAACTTTTCTCATCCTTTCTCTGTTAAATTAGGCCCCTTTAATTTGTTGTTTATTATTGTTAATATTATCCTTTTAATTGCCATTAATAATAAATTATGCCAATAGTAGTTCTTCAGTCATAGTCCTAGTGTGTAACAGGACATGATTGTACAGAGTATTAAATTTGATCAATTATTTTGTTATAAATAAACTTTATTATGGAATAATTTACTCCTATTTTAAAATTTGATTCTACCTAAATGGTAGGGTAGTTGTTGAGAATTGGATGCATATATGCTACAGATTGGCAAGTGATAAGGCTTGGGCCAAAAATGCAAAAATAATTGAGGTAAATGGACCCCATAATTAACAGGTAAAATTGCATTGGTAACTGTAGTAATTAAAGTCATTATGCAATAATAATGCAAATATTATACAATGGTTTTGGCGTCTGCTATTCTTTTGGCCTATTTCATGGGGAAATTGCTTGGTAGTTAGAGGCCAAATCTTCATGGCATATATGCATCAATAGTATACTCCTATGTTACATGTCGATAATTATGGTGTTCGCTTGAGAAAGGTTTGGCAACTTCCAACCATCCAACCTTAATTGAATAAAGAAAAAAAGGTGTAAGGAGTTTAGGAAACAGATAATGGTTGTGATGGATTGATCGTAATTATCATCCTGTCATGTGATGGTTCATCGAGTAATAGCAATAACTATAGTATTGAAAATTTATAAAATCTTGTGTTTTCTGAAGGAATAACGTATCACTTTGTATTACGGAATGCTTTGTTACTTAAGATCGTCTTGCATGGCTTTAATGATCTTAATTTTTATAGTTGTCAACTATTCCTTCTAAGTAATCAAGTGTTTAATGGTATTAATTTTTCCTGAAACTTAGCTTAGATTAACCTTAATTAACTCTGTGGAAGTGCTCTATTGAAGTGGAGTATGTTTGAAAAGAAGTGGAGTATGTGAACATGGAATATTTTATTAGAAGTTTATCCTTCAGGAATCAGGACTCAAGAGTTCATGTGAAAATGCAGAAAACATAAAAAGAGTAGACTTTGAACACCAACAAAATTTGAACATAAAAAGTATTACACTATTACTCATTTTTATTTGCCATGTGTTTCACAACATTAACTATGTGTTGGGTCAGTACATTATGGGCTATGAGTAATTGAGCATGGCCATGTACCTGAGTGCCTAGTGTATACCAACTTACCAATTAACTACTCCCTTCGTCCCACTTTATAGTTTCTGTTTATGTTATCACAGTATTTAAGAAATAGAAGGAGAAAATGGATGAGTGAAAAGTTACAGAGAGAAAGTGGAAAAAAACAAGGCAAGTGGAAATATCAAGGGTAATTTAGGAAGTTCAATAAATAAAGTTTAAAAATAATGAGGATACAATGGTCTTTACATACTATTCAAAAATAGAAACAAGAATAACATTTTAAGTCTCCAAAATAAAAAAATAGGAATTATGATATGAGACGAAGAGAGTATATTGATACTAATATATCGTGCTTACTACTTAGGGATGAGGGTGTAAGTTCGAAATAACTGAATAAGTTAAGATAAGTGGAAGAAAGAGAATACACGGTAACTTCTAGTGGCTTGGAAGATATATTATACGTCTTTCCTCTTTTCTCTTAGAAGTTAATGAACAAAGTAAGGACAAAAGTAAGCTTTGAAAATTCATATTAGGTAGACAATTTGAGTATTATTGAACATAGAAGATGTATGATCGTGATAACTCTGATAAGTTACTTCAAACAAGATAAGTATAAGCCATACATCATCAAACATGCATAACCTTTTTCTCTCACTTATCTTAACTTATCATATGGATCCATTTTACATCTGTTAGTTCCTTAAAATTATTGTCCAATGAACGTCACATTACATCTGTTTTCCTTACAAAATTATAGTTAATAACTTAATATAATGAAAATAAAATAATTCAGTCATACTAATTTAATTATGTGTAAGAATGTAATGACTAATTGTTAGTTCCTCCATTTCTTTTTAATTGCATCCTAAAACAAAAGTTTCAAATGAGTTACATCTATTTCTTTTTTAGTTAATAAACTCTTATTATCTTTCTCCTATTATATGGATCCATTTTTTTTTTATTCTCTCTATTTCTATCATCTCTAAAAATTATCTAGGAGTCCGCAAATTACAAAATGATGCAACCATAAAATACATAATGTAGGAAGTATCTAAGTTAACATGGGCATCACTCGGACTTTGAAAATTAAAATTGCACGACAATACAAAGGACTTGCTGAGGCAAGCGTAACATGACCCCAACTTTGATGACATATAGGCATATATAGAGGTTGTCAATTCCAACTATCGGACTGGGTTAGATGAGATCGGATCGGCTGTGGTTTTGACACCTCTAGACAAATACTAACTTCGTTAAATATTAGTTATAACTTTGGGGTATTATTTACGAGATATAAAATATTTTAAAATTGCAACTAATATTTAAAGAAGGTATTAACATAGTCCGTAGACCACAGTGGATGATGGGGACTGGGAGGCCAATATACTTGAGTACGCGACGCAACCATCGTGTTAGATGGGCCTTTCTCGCAGTACCTCTAGGCTCTAACACCACACCTTTTGGAGTACTTAGTTTAAATGTACAGGTTCTGAGCATGTGCAGGGTGGTCGACCGCACAGGGCCCCAAAGTGAAATTATTATAAAAGGGCCTCGGTTTTTTTAATTTAGTAACATACTTTTCTTAAAAAATTGATTTTAGGTCCCAATTTAACAAGATTACATCGGGCTACTTTCAGTATTAGCATTTATAGCCTCGCCTTTGTGTACAATAGTACCCTTTTCTAAACTCTTTAAATTTTTGCATTGATAATTGTGTAATTATTGGTAAGACATTTCTAGGCTTTCTAGTCCTTGTATTTGTCATCTACGAAGTAATCATAATTCAACTACACTATCATTAGCAATGGACATTTACCTACCATCTAGTATTTCATAATAAGCCAATTAATGTTTCTTAGAATATTACCATCCCTTCTTGGACAAAAGGCCTGTAGAAATCTCAACCAAGTACTATAGTAATTTTGGAGAAAAAGTCTTATATTGCTCACCATGAACTATAGAGACAGCAAAATCTATATACTTCTTCCGTTTTTTTAATATCGCATCACTTATATTTTAGGGAAGTTTCACAAATATTACGTCACTTTCATTTTAGGACAAAAATTATCTATGTTCACACTGTAAATACCCAACATACCCTTACTATTTCACACTTACTTTTTATTTTATCTTTATATTACATGGACAATTTTGTATTTTTACGTTTCTCTCTCTTACTTTTTCCCACTACCAAATTTTGCCTCAAAAACCCTTATGATGCAATAAAAAAAAACGGAGAAATAAATCTATATATGTACTGTATTTTAGTATCTCGCACAGTCATACTTACGCAACTGGCCCACATGATATCATATACCGTTATATATGTGTTTGATATCATGTAAATGTTCATCTATTTCAAATTGCATATATTATTAAAAAAAATTGGTATTATTAATCTCAATTTTGGGCCACTTACTTTAATTAAGCCTAATTATTGATTATTCTTGAATAATCCCAATTTTGGGGGCGTTTTCTTTTATCAGGTCAGATGACGGAACTACTTAACGTCAGGTTAACGACAAGGGCATGTTGTGTTAAAAAATTGTAACTGACGAATACCATGTGTAATATGGAAAATCAATGGGCACAACTTGAAAAAGTTAGTTATACAAGGGCACTATGTAGAAAAAAACCTTTTTTTATTTTATTTTTCTGTTTTATCTTTTATAATTAAGAGAGGAAATGATGTACTTTATAAACGGGATTCAACCTTGGATACCACTAAAGAGTACTCCATATATCAAAATAATAAAACATTAACCAAATAAGCTAAAGCTCCAATCAACATACATCCACATACAAATATACAATGAGCACAAAAATTATAGCTAGCTCCAAGTGTCCAGCTAAGCTAATTAGTCATTTTGAATATTAATTGTGGATTCATAGTCGAATATTAGCTTTAATTCATTAATAACTTTAATAACACATGTTGATACTAAATTGTGTATCATCCTAAAACCAACAAAGATGTTTATTTATATATATATATATATAAACTTAAAGTCTAATTTCTATGTTGATACTAATGAAGAATTATTAAGAGGGTACCAATTATGTTCACCAAGCGTTTAGATTCATTGATGAGTTAATGAGGATTGTATATATCAACCTTAAAGTTGGAGTTAGAGGGTGGTGATTCCTTAGCTTCCCCAATAATCTATCTAGTCTGTTGACTCGAGCCAAGTGAACAGGACAACTTGGAGGAAAAAAAATATACGTCACCTTAGTTTGAGGATATAGTCGAACGTCCACAAAATATTTCATTCGGTTCATATATAATTAACTAATAATAGGTTGCCACAAAAATAGGAAGGAAAAAAAAAAAAGCTTTGGTAGAGCTTTAACTATAAAAGCTTTGGGCAGTTTGTACTAGAATTAACAGAATAATTAGGATTGTAAATGGAGGAAAACAATAGATATTGCAAAGTTTGTGTTACTGGAGGTTCTGGATTTATTGGTTCATGTCTCATAAAAATGCTCTTTAATAAAGGCAATTACTATGTTCATGCCACTCTCAGAAACTTGGGTTAGTTCTACTCTTATCTCTTTAATAATTTCACTTTTTTTAGTAACATATATATAGTTGATTTACGTATTTGTAATGTCATTTCAATAATTCCCTTTACCCTCGAACTGACAAGCGATATCACCAAAGTGAACCGTTTAAAGGGGTTGGAAGGAGCGGAAACACGACTGAAATTGTTTGAAGCAGACATATATAATCCTCAACAATTTGATGGGGCCATAAAAGATTGCAAATTTGTGTTCCATGTTGCAACACCTTTACTGCACACTCAACAATCCCAAGTTTGTCTTCCTCTCATTTAATTTCTCAATTATTCCAAGTAATCTTTCAATTTTCGGTTGTCAAAAAAAAAAAATTCTTTTACTTTTCTACCTTTTTGGGCTCATGATTGATGAAATGACCCCTAAAAATAATAGTCAAATATGATTGATTTGAAGGATTCAAATAGCTAGATTAATTGTGTATGCTAATCGAGCGAGTCGATCACGACCGGGGGTTACTCGACTCGTACTAGTTAAATTTTGAGTCGAGCCGAGTCGACCATGAACTATTCATTTTAGCTCTCTTGAATTTCAAACTTTGGTTTATTATATTTTTCTATTCTCTTTATACAAATTTTTCCTATTAAAGTGTATTAATTTACATTTATGAAGTGTTAAGGTAATTTTTTGTTTTATTGAATTCCTTGTACACTTATCGAGTTTCGAGCTAATTCGAGCGAGCCGAGTTGAGTTCGAATTGCTCGTGTGTTGCTCAACTCGATTAGCACACCTAAACATATAGGGTCATTATGGGCATTGGTATTAATTACTGCATTATTGATTTATTGGTACTTGCTGAGACAGGAAAATAAATGTAATTTACTTTGATATCAATAAAACTTAAACTTAGCATTCGTAATTAGCTCCAATAAATTAGTGTACAAGTACTTAGCACACCTAAAAGTGCCGAAAGAGGACCAAAAAGGGGTCGTGCTTGTTCAAATTGGATGCAAGTTATTATTGACTAAGGTCATGTTTTTTTAATCTTACTTTAACTTTTCGAAGAAAAAAAATTAGATTAGTTCAAATAAGGGTTATTAAAAGTCTATACAAGTTTAATCAAAATCACAAAGGCGTACCATATACTCGTCTATAATACCAATTAATACACATGATTATTATTGTACACCTAGTGCACGCTACACTAGATTTTTCTCCCTTAAAAACAGAGTTCAAGAGCTGAACAATTAATGTAGCATACCTCTTAACCTTTAATTTGTGCATGCTGAATACTAAGTAGATGATTACTCTTGTACTTTGAGGCTGACATTTTGATGCAAAATGAACCTGATTACATGGTAAAGTACAAGGGATTAACCGAGGCATCATTAGCTGGAGTAAAGAGCATTATCAAGTCATGCATAAGATCAGGCACCGTCAGGCGGCTTATCTATACCGCCAGTGTGATGGCTGCATCACCTCTCAAGGACGACGAAGGTGGTTTAAAGGATTTTATGGATGAAAATTGTTGGACCTCGGTTTTATAGATAGTATCATTGATGCGTGGATCTAAACCGTGTCTTCCCAAATCTGACCTCGGTTTTATGAAGATCACAGAAGTTATTAAGGTGTGGATTAAAGCATGAATTAATTTATAGATGTACTTCTGGTAGAACATCATTATTGTATAAAATTTGGAATCTGGTTGTTATGTGATTTGTACAATTTGGAGTACTTCGTATAACTTAGAATTCTATAATAATCTTCGCAGTTTGAAATTTTATAGCTTAAACAAATTGAAGTCATATTACTTGTGCAAATTCTGGCAAATTTTGGATCCACCTTATATATGTCTTAAAATATGTAAATATTGGATCATAATGCATGTTCCAAATATTGTGATCGACTTTTATATTTTTGATCCGTTATTTCAGTAGGGTGTGTGTAGTTTTTGGACCGACTTGTAAGGAGTGTCTCAAAATATGTTTTCAAGTTAAATAAAATTTGTAATTTATAAGAATACACTTCAAAATACGTAGAGTGATCTTATTCATTTAATCATCTCTAGATTTTGATACAAACTTGTTAACCTAAATAATTCCCTATTTAATTTTACAATATAAAATTTCTAGTGCTACGCTACAACACCTCAAAAAATCTTCATAATGCAATATGAAAAACACGTAGGGTATTGAGGCGCGAAAATAGTAACAGCAAGCGATATAAACTATGTATTTATAAAAACACTAAGCAAACTTCCTATTATTTTGGTAGTGGTGAGTAGGATTGAAAGGACAAATGATAGTTTATTTAAAGCTCAAAAGGAAAGTCGCAATTAAAATCTAGCAAGTCATCAATAGGGAACTCAAAGTCACCTACTGGTGAATTTGTGACCGAGTTTGGGCCTGAAACCCCTTCATTGTTGTCGGTTTCCGATGTTTGCACGGTAAGCCCAATGTGGGCATCGGTAGGCCGGTACGGTGACACCGGAATATAGTTCGACTCCGAGGTTGTTGGTGATCCAAAAGCAGGGCAGAAGCTCAACATGTCGTTCTCATTAGGATCATCAGTTTGTAGGTGAGTTGAGGTGAATGAGAAGGAACGAAATATTTGGGCATAGTTAACGGGCTCCTGTTCTGGTTCTACTTTGAGGTCACCTTCTGGGCCTAGGCCCACGTAAATTTCATTTTGATTTGGGCTTGGAATCTGTTGTGGTTCTGATTTCAATTGGGCTGGAACTATGGGTTGAAATTGGGCCTTCGATTGGGCCTGCACTAGATGGGCCCCTTTGGCACAAGTGTGTTCGCCTCTGTACATGATTTGATAAATGGACGGGTCTTCATCGGAACGTTGGACTTGCTTCTTGGCAGCACAACCTTTGGTGCGGCGATGAGTGCATCTATAATACCCCCTACAAAATTTAATATATTTGCAATTTAGTCGCAAGAATAAATTTATTTTGGCCGAACTTAATAAACTTAGCACAACTCTCTCGCCCTTACAAAGGTTGTTTTATTTTGACATGAACTATTAACCTTAATCTAGAACAAAGTAAGTTTAAGAAATTCTAGTATGAAAACGTTGAAATGGCGAAAGTGGTAGAAACTATTCCTAAAAGGCAAAAACATGGAAAGAAAAAAAAAAGATCAAATTTGGACAACATAAACATAATAAATGGATGATGATCAAATGCTAACAAAAGTGCTAAAAAGCAAAGTCATGCAAGCAAATGTTAATTGTCATTAGTCCCACAATTAACCACTATCTAAGAAGCATAAAACTCCTTATTAAATGAAATGAAATACAGCCGTCCAAAATATAATGTCACCCAAAATATGACAAGTAAGATTGTTGAAATTGAAGTTCACCAAACCTAATCTCAACAAGATACATAAGTAGTAAATAAAGTTAAAGTAAGAATTCCAGCTTATAAAATTTTATTTTTTATTTGCGTTATCTTACTCAATTCTGCATATTTTTCTCTGCCATTTTTATTTTTGTCTGTTTAAATGATTGGAATAAAATATAACCTCCCTTTTTTTTTTCTCTATTTATTTTTTGGGTAGTTTCCTGGAAAATATTAATGCATTTGTGAACATTGTGGCCCCCTTCCAAGAGTGACATCTTTAGTTACTTTAATGATTTAAAGGTGATTTTGGGTGCTTTCTAAAACTCAAATCCAAGAACACTCAGACAAACAAAAAGATAGTACTACGAGATTATCAACAACTTGCAGATTGACAAATAAGCATCAACTAGTCCTAAACTATAGGGCCTTTTTACAACACACTAGACATGATTTTATTTTTCTTTTTGTTTAGCATACAAAACGATTTTTGGTGATTAATTGATGTCTGTGGATTTAAGACTATCTTTATCTTGCATATTCTGGCTCCCATTTATTAATGGCTGACTTTTACATTATTTACATATTTTTATTTGATTATGTGTAACTATATAAAATAAATCTGATCATATAAGATCTTGAAAGGCAAAATGCCAACTTTTTTTTTTACAAAGAACACAAAATTTGCTAACTATGTGATTTTTATGATCAAAACTATTATTTACCGAAATTGAGCGTAATATCTTATACTTGTATGTACCTAGTCCACATGTAATAGATATTTCATTTTCATTGTACGTAGAAATAGTATATTATCAATTATCAAGTGGGTAATACATGCAATAATTGTTTTACCCAAAGTGGGCCACACAACTTTAACAAAGTCCCCTCAAAATTCATGAAAAAGGCTTTTTTTTTTTTTTTTTTTTTTTAAAAAATCTTGTTGTTTGTTTCATAACTACTTTATGGAATATAATTTGGATATTGAATTCATACAAAAAACCCCACGTGACATATTTCCCATTCAATATCTTTATCAAGCAAAGTTGCAAAAACAAACAAACAACAACACAACATGACAGCAATAATAATAGTACGATAGATATTCATTTTTACTAAGGCCATAATTAATTCTTCATGACTTTAATTTTAAATGTATTATCTTTAATTTCTCACCTTGGAAATCTAGCTCCAAGAATTTCTTTTTGCCCATATTTTCTCCAACTATATTCATCTTCAAGAGCTCCCTCTAAGCCTTTCACTCCTTCATTGCCAATTTGCACAATCTTTGTCCACTTTGGCATCATTGATTTCCTACAACAAAAACATTAATTACCTTAGTACGGTCTACAGAATAAATAAAACTATTTACGAAATAACAAATTACATAAAATTCAAATAAAACCCATGCCAGATTGTTTAGAGAACAATTACCTCTTTTTAGAAGGAGAAAAATTGCTGCGAGAAGTTTCACTGTTCGGGCTACTAATGGTCAAAGAATGAGGAGATTCCGAAAAATGGGCGTAGCTATGATTATGATTATGATTATTAGTAGAGGGGTCTTGTGGGATTTGAATATTGAGCTTTTTGGCAATCGTGATGGTTTTATCAAATGATGACAACATTTTTTCAAGTAACAAATTATTAAGGGCTACTTGATCATTATTATAATCATCATTTGAAGATGGAGATGAACATGAATTATTTGTTGGGTTCAAAATTTGGTTTCGCAATTGTTTTGCGAATTCCATTCCTTGAAGTAACTCATTGATCAAATGAACTCTTCTATCAAAACCCTTCACTTCTTCCATCTCAAATCAATACCCTTAGCTTTCGAAAACTCAAAATGGAAACTTTTTTTTTTTTTTTTAATATAACAAAAGGAGAATTTTTTGATGAATTAAGAAGAGTTTATAATGAATGTATTTTGCTAGAATAAGTTTGTAAGAAAAGGAATGAGCATCTTTCACAAACATATATGTAAAAATAAATAACAATTGAATAAGTTACAAGGGAAAGACAAAATTTAAAGTATAGAAAAATATATAAAAGTGTTATAACTTGGATTTGATGATGTGTTGTTCAAGGAAATGCAAAAGAAATTTCAAAGAAAAACTTAAGATATGAGGGGGAAATTGTAAAACAAAATAAACAGTAAAAAAATGAGCACAAAAAAGAAGAAAAAGAGTGGGAGAGGTGGAGAGAGAAATTGGTGTGAGTTTAAGCGAAAGTGGGAGGGGTTGAAAGGAGAGAAGAGTAGAGAAGATATAGAGGGGAGGAGAGAGAAAGAAGAGAAGGAGAAAGGTGGTTTTTTTACTAACAAAACGAGTGGTTTCGTCACTTGTCAATAATTTAAGTTTGAATTGTATGTATACTTTTCATTCAATCACAATCGTTAGAGAATTGGTAAATACGTACGGACGACTAGTATACCACTTCTAAGGTTCTATTCATAAACATGTATAGCTAAACCTATCAAATATGAATTTTGGAGTATGATTTAGCTAAGAGCATTTTCAAATGTATACGTATGTAAAAAAGATCAACTTTTGAATACTTTTCATATTATATCACAAAAGATTCATTATAAACTGTCAATATCAACAATTGAAGGTGTAACACCACTAAATAGCGAATATATAGACAATGATCAGTGTGATAATCTAATGAATGATCCCTAACATGTTAATGAGACCTTATGATGTTGAGTTAGTAATTTGAACATGTTTTGTAATTTTTCATTTTTTACTAATGCTACAGAAATTTTCAAAATAGTCGTATAATGGAACCAAACTCATCATAGAGCCTTTATAAACTTGGCCTATTGGTAGCATGTTATCGTTCTAAACCAATTTTTCTGACCTTGTGAGATACTCCCACATGCACTTTGATTTTGGAAGAAATACTAAAATTGATTTGATGAAATAGTGCAATGAATTATATAAACTTTTTCGGACAAGAAAATATGTAATATATAGAGTTCGATGTCCTGCCCAAAGATCCCATGAAAGTCAAGAAACCAATTGGATGGTTAGAATCATTTATTTTGCCTCTTAATTATAGATTTTGCCTATTACAAACACTCCTCGACCCCGGTCATTGACTCATGGCCACCACTACACGGACCTTTATGTGATTAACTAGTAAGAGTCTATGGTTCCAAATAATCTTTTATGACCTTATGATTCACCCCTTATCATTACTTGAGTTTTCAACAATGGGTCTCAAAATCTTCGAAAATGCTCCAATTTTGTGTATTATAGCCTTTAGTTTAGTATCCGGAGAACCTTTTTAGACTCATCAAGGTTATTAGGCATCAAGGTTTTCTCATGCCTCCCAATTCAATAGACCTCAGAAAGCCTATATATGTGGTGCCTCAATTTATCTAATTCATGCATTGACTTCGTAATCATGGAATCATATCTTGAGTTGCTTACCTTGGTCATATTTTGCCTTGGTTCATTCTTATATTACACGTCTTGTCTTCCCAAAAATTGTTACTAAGACAAGCTAATATGCTACCCTCTACTGCCCTCTAAACGATACAATTTTTATAACTTGTATGTCCGTGGCTCATGCCTTGCCCTAAGCCTAACTTCAAATGCAAAATTCCCTATCAACCTAAGCTAAAACTAACCACTTATCTTGCTCAAATCTTATCGGTAAAAGAAATGTAAAATAGAGTCATCAATTTAGAGTGAACTATGGAATTTTTTAATTGGGATCGAGGGAATGTATCATGCAATGTTTTTATGGTAAGCCCAAATCAACATTGGGAATGTTGATTTTTCCTATTTAACCTTTTTGAAGATATGATATAAGTAAAATAAAGAAAGATGAAAAGGATGTTTTACTAAAAAATATTATAGTTAACCTGTTAAGAGTAGAGGATTTGTATAGATATCGAGTCAGTGTAATCTAGAAGCCAATCAACCTCGAAAAAGACCTAATAATTGTAAAACGTTTTTATATAAATACTTGTTTTTTTTAAAAAAAAATGCAACAATTTAACTTTTACACTATTCGCATACTCCACTTTAATTTGACCGATTATATTGATTTACAATTAAGGAAAAACATAATCATGTGAGATTTTGTTAAATTTATATAGTTTTGCTTTCATAATATACAATTTTATAAATTTATACTTATTCGTAACTAAAAATATTTGCAATTGAAATATTGCATGCATTGACAACATAAAATGAAAAGTATTGCAAATAAAAGAAATTTAAGGAAGTAAAGATTTTGAAATATTTTACAGTAGCATACTTCATATATTTTTATAAGCTAAGAAAAATCATCACAATTGCAATGTTACAATATTGAATTAAATTGATTGATCTCAATTACTCTGTCCTTTTTTAGCTCAAATGACCACTTACGTAGGCAAATTCATACGAAGTATCTCAGTTAGATTATTTTTCCTTTTAATTTTGTTATCCTCAAGTGTTTGTCAAAATAAAAAAAATAAAAAAAAAAACATTAATAATTGAAACACTGTACAAATTATATGTGTTAGTAAAAAAAATGGATAGAAAACAACTCCATTTGATTATTGTTTGTACAATGGACTTATAGAGTAATATACACGTATAATGAAATGTATTAATAATCTAATAGTATCAAGAGAGACAAAATCAACACGGTTTGGCTTTTTTTTTTTTTTTTTTTTTATAAATTAAATAAAAAAAAAATTATTTGTAAACTATAGTTAGTTAGTTACTAGACAAGTATAGTGGATCGGATTACTATTTAGTTAATTCCATCTGACATTCGTATATAACAACTCAAAAATCTCAACCTTTGAAAAACAAAAGACAAAACAAGATATGTATGACTCATTCACTCTTTTCTTGGTAAGCATTGGCTTGGTAGTTTGATTTTTGTCAATTCAAACTTTCAAAGATTCATCACTTATAAAACAACAAATTAGAGCAAGAGAACAAAACTTCACTTAAATTTGTTGTCCAAGGGTATTAATAATATAAGTATTAATCTATTTTGTAACTAAAATAATATACTCCTAGTTTCCTTTTGAGTTATAGCAATAAGATTCTTTTTAAAACCAAATTGATGATATAATAATAATCAAAATTATAATTTTTTGATGTGTATTTATATAAACTGTTATCTTAGTTTTATTGAACATTATATAATTCATTTTCATGCATGAGAAAAGTTCATCATCAACGAAAAATATAATTATTAAATCTGTAAAAGCATGCAAATGGAGTTTAAATAACTCCTACATATGGTCTTGAACTCATGACTAAGCAATAAGTATATACAACCAAATTATTGAAAATTCAACAATAACTATATAGAGGATACATGACCAAATTAAAGTTACTTACTACCTCCATTTCTATTTAGGTGCACTATTTTCTTCCGACACTGTAATTTAAAAGAAGAAGTAGGGGTATACATGAAGGGTTATAAGCAATTCAAAAAAGATTACATGAATCAAGGCAAATGAGAATTGGTCATCCTCATTTGATAGGAAATTAAAATTAAAAGATCAAACTACATACTCTTTTTTTTTTTTTTTTTATTGAGGGAAAGCGAGCAAAGAGGCAGGCCTTCATTAATTAAGGGACAAATTGTCCATGAATATACGGAGCTACATCATGAAAACAATGATTAATCCAAACTTCTTCAAGACCAAAAGACACTAAATGGGCTAAATGATGAGTTACGGATCAAACTCCATACTTAATAAGCAATTCCGATCCATTTTAAAGAAATGGTACAACTTTAAAAAAAGACAGCGGCCTAAATTATTCCTTAGGGATATCAAATGGTTCATAATACTATTGTACCTTTAGTCATTTATTCATGACCATAAGTACTAAAGATAGAAAAAACAATTGAAAAGTGAGATCGTACTCCAAATAATAATTAACAATAAATAGTCCAAATGAAGAATGAAGAATTGGCGTGGAAAGTCAAAAAATGAAGATGAGAAGGAAGAAAGAACCTTCAAAGTTCAAACCCCATTTCTGCGTTTCTTCATTTCGTCCAAAAAGTTGCTATTATAGTTAAAAGTGATGGACATTTATAGAGACTTCAATAATTTAATGAACTAATTGAAAAAAATAGCAAAATGAGAGTGACGTAGAAGAATCGTCAGACAATTACCCTCCGCTTACGTTTGGGTCCATTATTCCAGCATTAACCTATTATTCATCACCATTCATAGCTTATACGTACACGGTACACTCATACTACGAAGATTGGTGCCTGTAATTCTTTATGTTCTTCGGATATAAATTACTCCTTTTTTTTTAATGTAGTTTATATAAATAACAATGTTAATGAAATGGAGTACTATTTTAATATTTTAATGATAAATATATGATACCTCCGTTTCATATTATTTACAACAATTAGACTTTTTTTACTCACACTTTATGTCAAATTGTTGCAAATAATTTAAAACAAAGGTAGTAAGAAAAATCATTCTTCGTATATGAAGTATATTTGTAACTCCATTTGATTCATCTTGATTTGTAATTTTAAAAGTTTTTTTTTTTTTTTTAAAGAATGTAATTTTAAAAGTTAATTTAAAGAAAATGTAGTAAAAATTATGCAGACTAAAAAAAATTATAAATTGCTTATTGGCTTTGTTTATTTTAACGAAATGCTTTTTCAAGCATGCCGAATTTTCAGTTTTTTTATTGTTTGATTTGTAAAGGGTAAATTTTTCTTCTAAAATTGAAAAAATAGATGTCTTAAGAGTTGAAATTTATCCCTTTTTTTTAATTTTTTTTTTTTTACCTTAGCTTCTAACAATAATTCTTTGTGTGGTCGTGTGGAACGATTATTGGTAAAAGTGTAGAACGATAAGGAACATACAAATACACAAAGCGTAAAGTACAAAGGTAGTACATACAATAACGTAGTACTTTAAAATCATCTTCAACGAGTTGAAATACACTTGAAAATAATTTTCTGTTTTTAGAATAACATTTCCAACAATACGCACCACTAGGCCACTATGTTCTTATTAATTATTTTTTTTTATTTTTAAGCTTAATCCATTGAAATATATTTATACTAACAATTATTGTCACTATATAATATAAAAAAATCCACTTTGTTAGTTTTATACACAATCTATCAATTAAGAAATTACAACTTACAAGTATCATGTTACAAGCTAAGCCTACAAATATTAATAATCTAATATGCGAGTATTTAATTTAATAACGGCGTTACATCTCAAAAACTAATGCTAGATTCTTAACCGATAAACTCCTGACGTATTATTATAATTTCTTCAAATATATTAATAAGAGAGATTAAGTGGGCGTACCGTATTTAACTATGCACGTATCAAACGACAAATATTGAGATTCAAAG